AATTTGAAGCCTATGAGCACGAAAATAAATTTTATATCAATCCTGGATCAGCTACTGGAGCTTACAATCCTCTAGATACGTAAGTTTCTTTTCAAAAAGATCTAAAAATGATATAAAAAAATATTAAACTGTATTGAATGTAAATATTTTTGAGAATAAATATATTTCCAAAGATTCAGTTCACAAATATTCTATTTTTTTTATTACAAATCTATTTTTAAATTGATTATTTGATACAATATTTTAATTGTTAATGTATAAATTATTTTCTCTGAAAAAAACACACATTTACAATAATGATTAGTGTAATAAGAAAATTCTATGGGAATTCTTTTTTAATAATAATTTGTTTTTAGATCAGTTATACCATCATTCGTATTGATGGACATTCAAAGTTCAACGGTGGTTACGTATGTATATCAACTGGTCGGAGACGAAGTTAAAGTGGAAAGAATTGAATATAAGAAAAGTTAGAACCATCGGAATTTCCAGAATGTATCTATTATGGGTTATACCCCGAAATTTACTAAGAATGCAATTATGTGCATGAATATTCAACATTTGTCAGATACTTTTAATCTGTCCCAGATTAATTAATTAATTAGCATTTAAACGTAATTCGTATATATTTGTTGTAAATAAAATTATATCACTATTATATATAAAATAAGTTTTCTCTGTAAAAGTAGATTGATGGACAATCACTTTGAAAAAAGTTATCCTTGATAATATCTTTATAAAATTCTATAGCATTATCCCCTTCATAGAGTTTGATACATAGTTTATTATTTAATTTCTTTATTTCCCTAGAAAGACATAATATGAAAAACGAAGCAACGTTTTTTTCTGCTTATGACAAACATATAACAGAAAAATAAAAACATACGTATATTTTATTAAAATAGTAATTCGGATAATTCAACATTCATTCTGGCAAAATTCTTGATTCATTCTCTCTCAAATTTATAAATTAAAAATAAATAATTGCTCGTTATTCTATTATTTTCTGGATTTCCTCAGAAGTGTAAACCCTTCGCCAGTAAACGCCTTAAACTCGTCTGGATCCTTCGTCTAAAAGAATATAAATGATATTAATCACAATACAATCACGTGTAATGCCATGTGAAGTTGCCATAAAGTAAAGTCACGGATTTTTGCATTACACGACAAAGTTCGTGACAAAATTTTATTTATAATTCTATACGTCATAGAGAACTCCAACTAAAGTTCTCACCTCTTTATTATTCACTGGCTTCATATTTCGCAGGAACCTAAGAGTGCCTATTTGGTAATCATAATCGGGTATTCCACGAACATAGGTCGGCTTGGTAGTTACAGTTTCCTGCTTGGGCATGTCTTTGCGTTTTTTACCATCCAGCCGGACACCTTCACCCTGAAAAGGTACAAAGCCAGTCTGCGCCGGCATCAAATCGGCCAGATGCTCTATCTCATCTTCTTCCTTCTTTGGTTTTCGTACTGGCTCTTTATAGCCTACCGGTGGAGCAAACTCCACATTCATGTCACACTCAATGATACTAACTGCTGGACCAGGTCTAGTTTCTAATACACACATCTCGTAAATCTTCTGATTATATTTGATTGCAATCACATCGCCTGTAGTTAGACAGGCAAAGCTGCGCAGGCCGTTCTCCAATACAGCCTTTGGATTTGTGATATCTAGAAAGTCCTCTGATTGTGGCTGAAAACGAGAGAATGTCGCAACTGGTAATGACACACTCTCTACATTCAGTAGTTCGCCTTCCTCCAACAAAAGATTATGCATCATCTATGAGAAAAAATATAAATAATTTATTCATCTATCATTACATATATATA